ACCACAACAGAGAAAGAAATGTATGCTGTAATCTTTGCTCTAGAGAAATATAGAATATACCTGTTAGGAGTTAAGATAACCATTTACACTGATCATTCAGCTTTGAAATACTTAATAAAGAAGCAACACACTAAGCAAAGATTGATTAGATGGATTTTGTTGATGGAAGAGTTTCAGTATGAAATAAAAGATAGAGCAGGAAGGTTGAATCAGGTGGCTGATCACCTCAGTAGGATAGAGGACAATAAAGAAAATCTAGATCCTTTCACTGGAACCTTTCCAGATGAGAGTTTATACTTTGCTTCTCATGTTCCTTGGTTTTCTGATATTGTTAACTACATAGTCACGGGATCCTTTCCCCCTGGAATGCCTAGTTCATTAAGAGAAAAGATTCAATCTCAAGCAAGGTTTTACATTTGGGATAACCCATACCTGTGGAAAATGTGTTCTGATCAAGTGGTAAGAAAGTGTGTAGGAGATTATGAGATAAATTCAATCTTACGGTTTTGTCACACTTTAGAGGGTGGGGGACATCTAGGACCTCAGAGAACAGCCCATAAGATTCTTGAATGTGGTTTTTATTGGCCTACAATCTGTAAGGATAATGCTGAATTTTGTAAATGTTGCCCTCAATGTCAAAAAACTGGAAGCTTGTCTCAAAAAGATCAAATGCCACTGAAATCCATTTTTGTTTGTGAATTGTTTGATGTTTGGGGTATGGACTTTATGGGGCCTTTTCCCAATTCTTTTGGAAACACTTATATTCTCTTATTTGTTGATTATTTTTCAAAGTGGGTTGAAGCAGTTCCTACTAAAACTGATGATGCCAAAACAGTAGCTAAATTTGCTCAAAGTCTGATTATTAACCGGTATGGAGTGCCTAAGGCATTCATCAGTGATAGGGGAACTCATTTTTGCAACAAAGTCCTGACCCAACTGTTTTCAAAATATCACATAACTCAGAAAATTTCCACAGCTTACCATCCACAAACAAATGGCAAGGCTGAAGTTTCAAATAGAGAATTAAAGAGAATTTTGGAGAAAATAGTCAGACCTGATAGAAAAGATTGGAGTTTAAGGCTAGATGAGGCCTTATGGGCCTATAGGACTGCCTTTAAAACACCAATAGGCATGTCTCCTTATAGGTTAGTTTTTGGGAAAGCATGTCACTTACCTGTTGAGATTGAACATAAGAGTTACTGGGCTGTCAAGACAGTTAATTTAGAATATGATAAGGCTGGTAGAGAAAGAAAATTACAACTCTCTGAACTAGAGGAAATTAGGCTTGAGGCATATGATAACTCAGTAATTTATAAGGGAAAAGCCAAGGCATTCCATGATGCAAAACTGACCAGAAAATCTTTCGAAGCAGGAGATAAGGTTTTACTTTACCAATCCAAATTTTATTTGTTCCCTGGAAAACTAAGATCTAGGTGGAGAGGTCCTTATGAAGTGCTTAAAGCTTATAACCATGGTGCTGTTGATATAAGAAGCCTTGCTACTAACAAAATTTTTAAAGTAAATGGCCATAAGTTGAAGCTTTACAGGGAAGGTGTCCAGGTAGGACTCGTGGAGGAGATAATTCTAGAGGACATTCCTCTAGACGTTTGGTTGGAGATGTAGTGAAGCTTGCAAGGGTCTAGCCAAGACCATAACGAGGGCAGCTAACTGGGAGGCAACCCAGCATTTAAAAAAAAAACACTTACTTTTAATATTTTTCAATTACATTCTGCATTTTTTTCCCCACCCTCTCTATTTCTTTTTCTCTCAACCACCCATTCCATGTCCCCTTCTTTTTACCCCTTCTCGTGCGTACATGTTTTATGCATATCACAGGGCCTACTTCTTGTTTTTCACACTGAGGACAGTGCAAAAGGTAAGTGTGGGGGGGTGCTTATGAATATTTCAATCCTTCTAACTTGAAGAGACAAGGTACGCATCCCTTAAGTATTCATTGGATCCTAGATTGCTGAGAAATAGGTTGAAATGAGGAAAGTTGCTGAATTTTGATAGTGAATTTGTCTCTTTGATTCTGATTCAATGTCTTTGGTATTATAACAGCCCTGATTTTTCTCTGTTCTGAATGTTTGTCACTACAAATGCTTATTTTAGTAAAGAGGGACAATGAGCATGTTGTTTATCTGCATTCATCACATCTAGGAGGCCAATTATGCATAAAGAACTGCAATAAACTGTCCATATAGGTATATTTAGGGGCTGATTTGTTAGTTTAAACCTGGCCAGTTTGATTGGACTTATTCTCCGTAAGATTCTGCAGATTTAAAGATGCATTTATACCTTAAGGGTCTCATACCTGGTTGATAGAATCTTAGAAAATCTGCATTTAATGTGATTTGGTTAAGAAAAAAAGGGTTAAAAACTCTTAAGTTCTTAAAGAAACTGAGGATAAGGAAAAATCCTGAGAAAATTAGGAATCACAATAGTTTCCTTTATCTTTTAGCACCCTAAGTGTTGCATTTTAGCATTAAATTCAAATTAAAGTTGTAACAAATAGGGTTGAGTGTTTTAAAAGTGAGTTTGCTACTTTCAAGTTTAAATCATTGCTTTTAAGTCATAGCTGATCAGAACCTATTTTTATTTAATATCATATCTTTTAATTAGCTAAGTTCAAGGTGCATAATTTATTTAGAAGTGTTTAGAGCAGTTTGTTTTCTAACTCTTTTGTCCTAAGTTGCTTTTCAAGAAAAGTTAATCTTTTGGAAATCTCTTTTCTTACCTAAATTGTGGTTATCTACATTTTATCAAGATGCTGAAATGAATAAATGTGTATACTGGAACACCATCTTAGGTTGGCATGGGTGGCACGGCACTTTTGTCCCCTTAAGCAACAGATCCTAAAAGGAAGTGTTGTGTATGGAGAAAACCTGAGTTGGAAGAGCAAACCCCGTTTTTGGGCCGTACGAATCTCGTCCATAACCAGTTCAAAATAAAAAGAACCGACGCCATTGAGCCCAAAAAAAAGAGGCAATAAATGGCTAGGAACAAAAAAAGAGAGAATAAATAATTGAGTAAAAAGGTTGTTTGAGCACTCGAGTTGATACCCTCGGAATACTTCGTTATTTAGGTCCTGGGCTATCTGGAATGGGTCTGGGGTAGCCTGGTTGAGACTCGCTACACGGATCAACTCAAACAACTTAAAATTTAATATTAAAGTAAAGCAATAATTAAGAGTTCCAGATTTTAGGAAAGAAAATAAATTTTCTTAAGCTTTTCTTTACTTGATTGTTTCTTAGGATTTCTAACTACTTTTTGCTGCTCTATTTATTTCTTTTAAATTGCTCTCAATGATCTTAGTTAATTCAAAGTTTTGACATCAAATGAAAATAGTTTCTGCTTAGTTTTGAAGTTAAAGAGTTGTTTTAATGTTTAAAGTAGCAAGCTGATTTTTAAGGTGTTTACTCTGTTTGGTACAATTTTAATCTCTAGCTAGTTAATGTTTTAAGCAACACTTTAGAATGTTTGGAGACAAGGGAATTGTTGTGAATTCTGATTTTAACACAAAAAGAAAGAAATGATTGTGAAAATCTAATTTGCGCGAGGGCGTGCAAAAGGCTAAGTGTGGGGATATTTGATGAGTCTTTAAATGTTATATTTTATTCTCTCATATTAGCCCGTTTTAGCATGTTCCAAATGTATTTTATACACATTTAATCACTATTATCTTCATATAGCAAGTTAGGCCATCATTTATGTTTTGATCATAAATTGCATTCTTTTGAGTATTCTTTTACTTCACTATTTTTATTATCTCATTTACCTTGACGTAGGTCTTAAAAATTGTTTTACGAAGCATCAAAGGGCTCGGTGACGATGTCAAGTTAAATCCCGGGGAAGCTGTCAAGAATCATACGAAGAATTGAAATGGGCCAAGTCACACAGGGCATGACCCAACAGTTCCGAGCAGCCCACCCAAGGGACAATCCAAACATCTTCAAAACTTAAACCTGCGCCACTCTTCGATCCTTCCAGCGGCTAACAAGAACGCCGCAACATAGAGACTCTGATTCAAACTGGAGTCCTAATTCGAGAAGAAGATCTCAAGCGCAGCAAATAGGAAAACCCCGACTAAATCTTGGAGTCCTAATTGAAGACGAGAAGCTGATTTTCAGTCCCTATAAAACG